GGGATTGGAAAGGAGATTTTGATTTTGCGGGTAGGCGAGATTTGTATGCATATCTTTTCAGTCGCTTAAAAAAACGCACTCGGCAAAGAATGACAACGTAAGTAAAATGCATGCTTTCCGTTAATTCGCAAGGCTCTTATTGATTTAAATACATATTATAGAACGCATGCGCAAAAATACTCTTTAATGGGCTAATCTGCCAGAAAAGCGCTTCTCTTTCAAATTTCACACTCAAAGGCAAGGTACTACAAAATAAACGGACCAATTGGACTGCAAAAACAAAGGCGGTGCACGGAAACTTTACACGAGATAAATACAGTTTTGTACGTTGATTGGGAATAAAAACAGCTATTTTTCGCGAAGTAAGAGAGAAAGGGCTCCGTTTTTCACATAAGTTTCATCTTAATAAGAGTGTACTTCTGGTATTTCGAATTTGAGAATGCAGTGTTTGAGAAAAGGTTGAAAATTAGGTTTTTTGAAGCAAGCACCCAGGATGCTTTTTTGTGCTTGCTTACGAAGTCGGTCAAGTACACCAGGGGAGGTCTAGTGGATCTTCTTAACAATAGCAAAAGAAGTAGGGAATTATTTTCAGACAAAAGACGAGGGTTGTGTTTTAAAAAGAAACACGAAAAATCTTAACAACGAGGGCCGCATTTTAGGAAGGACGAAGAGGACCACTTTTTATCAGCAACTTCTAAGAATATAACCGAATTTATGTGTTGCATCGAGAATAAATACGGGAAATATGCAGTGAGACTTGTCAGGAAAGATCGACACAAATAAATGAGCGCAGAGTGTGATAGAACCCATGAAATAGAGCAGACAGAATCAAAAGTAATTCGAAGTAGGCAGATGGTATGTTGTTATTTTCATTTAGAGATTTACAAACGGTCGTACCCCTAAACAGAACGCGGCCACCAGCCCACGCCTCACATTATAAACACGCGTTTGAGGATTAAACGTTATCGTCTTCATCCAGACAGACCTTAGTTGGACCGTTTATCTCGCTAGGACCATTATAATACTTTCACCCCCGTTTGTCTGGGTAGTGGTGGTTGTCACGGCAATGTGCGTGGCCGATTTAGGTATTGCCGTGTGCGGGCCCACGTCGGCTCACCCGTCAGATGAGCCGCGCGTCCGGTAGGCTGCAGAAAGCGTCCGAAAACAGCTGATGGAACATGACGCTGAGTGTCCGAGTCATTCCCTCGAGTAGGAGTTTCTCTACTCTGGAAAGTGGATGTGTGCCAATGGTCTGCGCCTTGTTCCGTCACTAGAGACATCCTTCTTACTGTTCCCGCGTGTTCGCGGGTGTCAGGAAACAGTTCAGAAGTAGAAGATGCGATCGTTGGAACAAGAATTTTATTTGTCTGACATTTCAGATTCTGTCGAGAACCCTTAACCATAGGCATCCATAGAATAGTGTGATACGCATACAGATTAGGATGATATATGGACAGATTTCGTAGTATTTATAGTTCGTAGTGGCCACGCGACTGCATGCGTACTATAATTATCAGCTCATGTAAGCAACGCCGCGGGAAGTAATTGGTGCGATGATGGCTTGGCTGTCTGCTTTCGAGTCATTAATGGTCGCGATTTCGTTGTCCGTGTTGGATGTGGGCTTGATAATTACGCTACAATTATGTTCGCTGTCGTCGGAGTTTTTGCTGGGCCCGGCCCTTCCACGTGACTGATTCTCCGGGTCAAACAATGTCACAATACGCAGTATGGGAACGGAATTCGTCGCGCTTGTTGATTGACTGTGAGCCTGAGAACCATGATTCGAGCAGCTCGCAGCTTACGTGGTTATCACTTCTCACGAGGATTTCAACCTCCTTAAATTTGAAGATATGGCTAGGCCCCGTCGAGTGAGCTGAAACCTGGGAGTTAGCTTCTTTCCTCCTCACAGCTGCTGCGTGCTCGACCATTCGCGTCTGGAGAGGTCTCCCAGTGCTATGTGGTTTGTCTATCCAATTATAGTTAAGGTGAAGGGAAGACATTTTTTGCTTAAAAATGTTTCAAATGTAGCATATCTCTCTTTCTCTCTTTTAAAATTTCCTCCAGGTTGCGCTTGATGGTTATTCCCAGTGTAACCTACGTTCTATTGCTAGCAGTGCAGATCAGTATGTTGACCACCTCGTGGCTGACTAAAAAGCACTCATCGGAGCACCGAAAACATACCCTCAGCACAGTTTTTTGGTTCCCCCGCGTCTTGTCGTCGACTGCGGCGTACAGTGTGACACGAATCGGGTGCGTGTTGCCAACGTAGAGTTTTCTATCTCGTTGACCCAGACATCGTCGCCGCTCAACCGACTTAAGCGAAAATTGATGTAAACACAAAGTTCCACACAGGTTAGCCACTTTTTGCGAAGTTAACATGTGCCCTACGACAGGCTGGCAAACTTAAACGAATTGAAACTTATTTTCAATTATAATGCCTGCTAGGCCATTGACTAGATTATCGAGAACACCCTACGTGAAGAGGACAACGTTGAGTTCGCACTCGGACGCCGGCTGAATGATCTCGACTACGCCGATTATATCACCCTACTAGCTTTAAGCTTTAGTGATCTACAGTCCATGGTGCCACTGGTGAAGGAGGTCGTTAAATCCGTCGGTTTGTCCATAAACGCTAGGAAGACCAAAGTGTTTTCATGTTGCATCTCTGCTCAAGAGAAGGCACCTCCGAGATTAGAGACTGTTAACTTGTAGACTTAGACGATTTCAAGTACATCGGAGCTAGGTTACTGTCGAATGGAGTAAGAACAACATCGTATCCCGAATCGATGTTGCTCGCCGGGTTTCTTAAAGCCTCAAAAAGTGCCTATGAACCCGACGCGATATTTCCACTGCCACAAAGGTTCGCGTGTACCATGCATCCGTTCTGTTTGTCCCCCTCTACGACTGTGAATCTTAGACTATGCGCGTCAAAGATTAAAGAAAACTGGAGGTATTTGACCATCACCGCTTGACGATCACCCTTCTAGTGAAGTACACCGACCGTCTCAAATGAGACAGTTTGCACTCGCTCCGAAAACATCGCAGGGATATTCCAGGCCATCCAAGAAAGACGACTGAGGCGGTTTGGACACGTTCTTCGCCGTCAACCTCACGAGCTCAGTGTTACTGCCCTCGATCTCACATTGTTACCCAATTGGAGACGGCACGGAGGGTGTCAGCTCAAACCTGACTCGACTCAGTCCTTCAAGAAATGGAAGTGGTTCTTGGACCTTCAGTACTCAGCCTCCGGCGTTGAGGAAGAAAATTGGTTGAATTATCCAGGTCTGTTGCCACGGATCCTCACGCGTGGAGAAGTACCATCCGGGACGCAAGCGAGGCCGACTAGATCAGTCATGATCGCGGCCCTAACAATTAAAGTACTAGGTCGGCATTCCAAAGTAGTTAGTTGTGGGGGAGGGAGCGAGAGGTGTGCAAAAAGGCGACAGAAGATGACTGACCTCAAAAACAATGACCGGGAATACAGCCCTGATGATTTCCGGTTCAACATCCGCAGAACTGAGCCACTTGCCCGTCCTGACCAGGAGCTCAAAGTTGACCTCTGGTTGCCGGCTGCGCGGTCGTGAACCCAGCAGGTGGATCATGCTGGCCAGCAGACAGCGTTCCTCGTCAGCCTCCTCATCTTCAGCTTCTGCTTCCTCCTCTCC